GAAAATCCTTGGCTGTTATTGTTGGTTGATGTATTATTTCAGTACGCTATTTTTGTGGGTCTCCCAAGGACGTTTCTATCAGGTATAAATAATCTCGATTTTTTGGGTGCTTGTAGAATACACTTTCTACGTCTTGTCAAGACTTCTTCGTCTACTTAGTGGGGCCTTGGGACGCTCGGATAAGAGTAGCCTCTCGTATCACTGGATCATTTGTTTTCGCTCTCGTTTACCGACTAAGGTGAACTCGTAATAGTTTCAAGCATATCAGTTGACGAGCATAACATAGATCAGTAGAGTAAACGATACTTTCGGTATTTGTTTTCAATTATTTCACAGTAGGATTCATGTTCTAGAAATTATTACATTGTATTACCTACCAGTAGGAAGACTCTAAGCATATCAATTGACGAGCATAACACAACCGCGGAAATTCCGTGAGAAACCAGGCTTGTTGTTGTCAAACATTGCACACAGTCTTGGCTATCCCCTCACGTAGGGGGTTGGCAGAAATAGTTGTTTTTGATCGACCCATGAGTGAGTTTTGTAAATATTGCTTTAAATGTCTTTTAAAAATCTTATCTCATTAACTTAGCATCTCTTTATTAGGTTGTCATGAAATTGCTGAATATACATAGAAAATTAAACCACCTATTTATAGCCGTCTCTTGATTTTTACACATTTTTAATGGTTCTCTGGTACTCAAAAACAATATTCCCAGTCTCATGATGTAGTAAATGTAGTTTACTATAATCTGCAATGTTTATAAATGAATCAACTGTACAATTGATAGATTATTTATCTATTGTTTCCTATTAACTTTTTACTAATAAAACAGGCTCGAAACTAGTCCCAATTTTCTCATGGATTCAAATGGCAAAAGATTTGCTCATGATTCGTTTACGTTATTCACTAGGAGCATGGAAAATTGAACCGGTTCACACATGATGCGCACATCAATCAAACTATATTTAGTCATTGCTCATCCTATCCTATGTGCAGTTCAACATAGTACACATTCTGTTGTTTACCATCTATCTATCAAAGCTTCACTCCAAATATTCCATTTTTATTATTAAATTTTTTTTCTTTTTTTGAAAATGAAATGGCTATTCATAAAACATTCCTTACAAAAAAAAATTTAATGTCAATTATTTTTAATGTTTATCATGTAATAATCATGTATTCACTGGAATAAATAAAGCTATGTTTGTAAAATAAAATTTCCCATGTACGATGGTACAATAAAGAAAAAAAAACAGTTCAAATATTAGTTGTTTTTTTTTTGCGTTGTATCTGTCACGCTTAAGTAATTCCAAACAGTAGATGATTTATCCGAAATTAAATAAAACAGTAATAAGTCTATAAACAATAATGAACAAAATAATCAAAGGAGGCATTATTAATTCTAATTTTTTAAAAGTAATTCGTGTAAAGAAAAAGTATTTAGTAAGTGTGTGAAGATGGCATGACAAACTTATTTTGTAAATAGTTTTGACGCTATTTGTATAGCAACAACCTATATGTACCATTGGTATTTTCTATTGTGTGGTTTGTATGAGCTTGTACAACTGAGCGTTGCATACGCCTACGCGCTGACTCATACTTCTCGCTTTAACGTTAATCTCTTAATTTCCGCATGAACTCACATGACTTGTCTCGCTGACCTTTGACCTTGTCAGTCATTCGTCGTTTTTGTTCATGTCTGTGCATGCCTATTTCGTTTGTCATATGTCTGTCTTATTTTTGTCTGACTATATATTCTTACTCATACTCTATCTCTTGGAGTTGGCTCTAAAGCCTTCTCCAGTTCACATCGGTTCATTTGTTTTATTCACTGCTTCTCCACTGCGCTTCGTGGTGTGTCCCGAATAAACGTATTCATCACTACGAGTTCATGTTCTGATTTATAAATCGAGCTTAAGAACACGCAGTAAATCGACACACTACAAGTGTATTTAGTAACGATTTCTAATTTAGTACAACTCAAGAGTTGCATGGTTATTCAGTCAGAAGTATTCTAAAATACAAAGTAGGAGATGAAATCATTGACATCGTTTTCATTATCATACTGTTATAGAATGTTTCATATGGTCTTTGTATACGTCATTACCGTGGTGAATTAATATAAATATTTCAAAATAAAGTATTATCCTATTTTAACAGTCTGAACTATGACCTAACTACTGGATGAATAAGAGGGTGATAAGTCAAGTCGACAACAACAAGTTGCCATATACATTAGCACAGAGATGTAATTGTCAATTCAAATCCCATATAGGTTAAAGATAGTAGAAGTATTAGCAGTAATCGAAGGGATTAGGGTTCGAAGATATTATTCAAGAAGTAGCATCTAATGAAAGAATCTTAAAATGGAGAGATAAAGTTGAAGAATCCAGAGGATTAGGATTTGAGAGAACACAAAGAATGGAAGCACTTGCGCCATGTCATTTAAGGTCTCATCATCAATTACTATCATCTCACCGACCCCAGCCAGGTTAGTCGACACCTACCAACATGACTTAGTTCAGTTGTCAGTGACTTCATGGATTTGTGCCATGTTTTGGTTTGGACACACCTAGCTTTCTTCCAATCTATTCCTACATCGCAAAACATAGCTCGACGAGGCAGTCGGTGGTTAAGCATATCCAACACATGCCGCAACCATCTCAAGTGATGAAGTTTCAATACTTCATCTACTGACCTATTCCTATCTAGTACTCGTTTCCTAGCAATGGCATTGCTTACTCGTCTGTCCCACGATATACCCGCAGTGCTTCGGAGACACCTGTATTCGAAAACCAGCAACCCACGTATATGTTCTAATCTGACCGGTCATGTTTCACAACCTTAAAGTAGGACGGAGCGAACTACTGCACAGTACACCCGTCCTTTGGTTAGCAAACGGATATCTCGTCTACGCCATAAGTGACGAAGGTTGGCGAAGGCCAATTGAGCCTTTTGTACCCGTGCTGAGATTCCGTCAGTCCCCAGGCCATGTCTGCCTGTAGACCCTCCGGGGCTACTGCCGGTCCCAAACCCGGATAAAGGAGGACGGTTGAGGTTGGCAGTCTCATCCCGCAAAAAACTAACTCGAAAAATTACGCTAATAAGAAAGAGGGCGATAAAATAATGCAGAGCATGAATTCTTGAGTGATAATCATCCGGGCCTGAAGAAAATCTGTGAGATTTCCTTCCTTTAGAGGCGGCATTTACTAAACCCTGATTTCGGTCACGAGAAAAAGTAGCTAAGTCTCACAAATAATAAAGCGAACCCAACTGTTGTATCATTGAAACCTATGTTATGATCATTTTGTACACGATTTATTCACTAGTTAAGGTATACACAACAACTAGGAAACCAAAATTTATCATTAACAGTATGACATTTTAGAGACTGTCGAGTTTCAGTTAAGTTAGTGTGGTAAAAATAATCGCAGCAGATTTGAAAGAATATTTCCGGTCCTTCTAATTACTTTGTGCATTTGAATCTTCACGAGAACAAGCAAATGAACTGAACTGGAATGACAATATACCTGTAGTGAAATATAAATAGATACTGCGTGATGTCGCATATTTAAAGATGACAGTGAATCTTAACCAAGTACATACCATTGGATCGAATTAAGTTACTTTTTCAGACTGTTACATCAGTTTCACCCAGGAGCTATTAAATTACAAACCGAAATATCCCGAAAAGTATCTTTACTGATTAACAAACTACATTCACTAAGGTATGGATTACTGGCTTCATTATAAAAGCACGATTTCTAACTATTTTATGCCGAGTTTTAACCTTACTGTGTCCACTTTGCTTTCGAGAAACGAGCAGCGCCAACACCCTTGCTTGAGAAGTGTAGCTTAGGAACAAGTAAAATAACATGTACTTAGTAACTATATTACAATATATTTTGTCGTTTTAAAAATGCTAGACACTGATGTATGCGTTATAAAATGAGCCATTATGTATACCAGAATATTTGACTATCATCAGTAAACAACAGAAACTAGCCTAGACAATTCATGAAACTAAATGAGAGATTTACATACTTTAGTCAAATAAGCTATTAATCACAGAATAATCCATTAACGCATTATTTTTAATCATCTTCCGGAACAAAAATTTCATTCTCTTCCAAAAACTCTGCTCCATTTCTGCTTATCCATGCGCCAGTGCAAATTGAGGATATTACGACACCAGTAATTTTGATCAGTCCCATAGGAGTTGTTAACGGTCTAGAGTGAAGAGCGCCAGTTGATGAGCATGAACCAAGTTCTCCGGAATAGCACTGAATTCCTCTTGCTGGCAGTTTTTTCAAATGTTGGCAACGCAGGAAACTGCCAATTAAGCTCCTACATAGCATCTATAAAATTAATTTGATAAATCATTTAAATTACATACTTCCTTATCCACACAAAAACTGAGACTGATAACAAGCAAAAACTGTAAGATGGAGATTCCATTTACTTAACTTTCTTTATGACTCCACTTTAGTTGCAGTAACGACGATTTCGAATTTTTTCTCGCAGGTCAACAACTAATCGGCTATTGTCTAGTAGATTTTAAAGATTGATGGAAAGACTATTGCAGAGAAGTGATAACATCCACGAAAAAACATTACTTGACAGTTATAAACTTTCTCCAAAACAAGGAATAATTCGAAATATGAAGATTGATTAACCATATTAAAGCTGTCAGTCCGCTGATATTTTTTAGCTATTAGCGATTGACTGTCTTATAAACAGGCAGCGTTTTATGGTTAGGCCGCTTAGGGTCCCTATTATACTATATTCCTACCTGTTTACAAATTTAGGTCAGGGTCCACCTAATGAAATAACATACGCTATTACGCAGTGTTCCCTACATTTGCTTAAAAATTGAAGAACTATATATTGATTCAGAGTAATTTTTGAAGTTCGAGAATATTCACCACCTTAACCAAACATTCCTAGCTATGCATGAAATCAGGGACTTCAAGGAATAATCTACCTTCGGTGTATTATATGAATATTTTTGTTGATTACAAGATATTCAAAGAATATATCTCCAGTGATTCCATAATGACATATATGTTACCTAACACTACCGTTTAAATTTTAGCCAGAATACATCACTCGTTTTTTGAAATTGGAAAAATTAATCCAGGGTTACAGGTTTAACGTAAATGAGACGGAAACTCTACGGAAGCTAAGAGAGAAGTGAGCGATTCCTAGTATCCTTGGACGAACTATCGACCAAATCAAAGAAAATTCAAAGTAAAAGACGAAAGTCTGGTTTAAAAGTTCAGAAGTAGACAATTTAGAAACATTCCCACAACAAGGCATCAAAATGAAGAAATTTCGCACCACTTTAGAATGATAGGCGGGAACGAAACGTTTAAAATCGTTTTTATCTTATTTTCCTGACGTTTGTTTGCATTCTATATTTGCATTCTATGTTAATCGTGACCGGCGAAATTGCCACCATTGGTTTTCGATATTAAGGTCAGTCAGTAAAATTACTTCCATGAAATGAAATTCTTTTTTTAACTGGAACTAAATAAGCCCAATTTTTTTAAGTTACATCACTGGGAAATGCTTATAATGAGAAATCAGAAACATCAGCCCTGACCTTCACGTACCTCTACTTATAATTTGAGCGCCTAGAGATTTTGCGAATCCAATTACCTTTTCACAAGCTAGTTCAAATCAGTCGATGGCTTTGGGCTTGTTTCTTGTTCTTTCAGCAACATTCCAGGTATTTTCAGTCTGGTAGTGCAAGCACTTAACTGCACTAGTTCTCGGCAGATGACAGTCACTTATGAATTTGTGTCCCATGATTTGAATAAGTATGGTTTTTGAGCACAACACGGGTTCTGGGTACTAGCATCTATCAAATTAGCAACTCAACAACCAGTTAGCTGCAATAGGAGAAATATTTGGGAGAAAATTTTGATGGTTATGAGATTTCAGTACTAAATTGATAGGTTCATTATTTGATAGTAATGATTGTGTGAGAGACCATAAGTGTGTGTAAATGAAAGGAAGCGGAGATAATGTGCGATTGAATTTAAATTGGTGACTCGATGGGACGACAGAGTTAAAACCAAACAAGTTTCGATCAGTACAGAAGTAACCTAAGCTTACTAAGATTTCGTATCTGATAGTAATTAATCAGTCATATCTCCAGGTAGGAACCCAGCTACAATTCGCCAGCAAAAGATAATTAATGATAAACTACTGCCTTGTGTTCTTAAAATATATAAACTAGGAAGTCTCTTGGATAACTTCAATAGTTAGCTAGTTCCGAAATTAGGATAATCATAAACAGTAGACAGCTCGCTTCTTGTTCATTATTTTATCTAATGCCTCATTTCTGGGAATCGCTACCAGGTTCGTTCTTGATACTGATCCTAAGAAAAAGAAGCGTATTGGGACTACTTATCGCGAGATCGCCAAGTCATAAATCCGTTTACAGCCAAAAATCACAACACCAGTTTGACTGGAGATCGAGGCATATCTATTGATGATCTCGTGATATCAAAATAATATCAAGATCTCAAAAAAACGCCGTAGACGAAACCATCGAGGCAACCGACTGAATCGGTTTTAGATATCCTCTATCTGAAGTGTGCTACGGACAAATTCAGTGTCAAATTCTGAATATTCGAGACGTACTCATTGGTGAGCAAGACGAGATCTAGTACATTCAACGGAATTCCATGAGTCTGTTCCTTGTAATGACGTTACAAATAGTCACATTTTTTCAAAAATTGTGACATTACTTTTGTATTCAATCTGGTTTAGTGAACACTGATTTACTTTCTGTCCCTACTACTTCGGGATACAGGCTTAACCGCGGCCTAATTATGACTATTATACCCCCTTACATTCAACTCAGGCCCACCTATCCTAACAATATTTGTTTTCGATACCGTCAAGCATACGTCGACTCTTATGAGCTCGGTGTGGATTTTCCACATCTTGCGAAACCGTAAAATAAGCGATTGTTTAACAAGAAAACGGTACAGTTTGAAAAATTTCAAGCCATTATACTTGCGGAAAGCCTTCCTTAGCCCGAAATTTTGTCACTACACAGTTCAGGACAATTTTTAATACTGGATCAAGGTGGGTCGCAGTTGGTGGACAGGGACATCTTCTTTAAATCACTTTTATGGTGTGAACTGTTTGCCCACTCGTCAGGACTGGTGAAGATTCTGGAATCCAAGCAATCGTATACAAAATGCAGTCCTAAATCTGCGAGTGGCGAGCGCAAATGTTCATCACTTAGTGCAAAAGTACGCTTACATTAACTCGAGTTTTTGCGAACTCACTCCTTCGATTTATGTTGTAGTAGGCATGTCGACGCCTATCCGTTGAGTAGATCTGCTACAACTAAATAAACTACCGAATGATTCAAGAAAGCGAAGGATAGGAGACGGCAATAAAAATTTTTCGGTTTGTGAAAATTCCGTTTCTGGTGTAAGGTTATGTCCAGTTACGGTGAAAAACCTAATCAACATATTCCGACATCCAATACTTGACAGGTGTCCGAAAATTTCAACATGCCTACAGTAACTGTTTGTAACCAGTAATACTGCATATCACATCGAAACTGCAGGACTACTAGAATTTAAAAAAACGCGGCAGCTAGCTTACGAAAAGCTACTAATTGCCAAAAAAATTAAACCAAATTAGAGATTTAGAGGTAATTCGATCGACAAACAGCCTAATAAAATCCACTTTGCATAGGGTTCAAAGACAGGATATCAACGATCAACGTACACCAGCTGAATATCGGCGAATGAATACGAATTCGAGGCCGTTGCCTCGAATTGCGAGTTACCTTGAAAAAAGCAACTCCCTTTCCAAAAGTCTACTTGTTCAAAGCGTTAAACCTAATCCCTGAGAGTGAAAAGTCCTTCACAAAACAGCTGTGATCACCACTTTGGTCTCTATGAATTCTCAAGTTTACATTTCTGTCGAAGAATTACTGCCTAGACTTGTCAGAGATTGATTGGTGAGGTTTTTAGAAGTGTCATCTTTATTCATATTTATGTCTATGAATGTCTAATGACGAGTCAGGACAGAGAATATTATCAGCATGTGTAACCTGTCTTCCAACGACTTCGAAAATGCGGCATTAATGTTTACACACAGAAGTGTTAATCTCGAACCGATTCCCTCGACTTTCCCAGATATACTATTGATACTCAAGGTAACAGCAGTTTAAATAAAAAAATTAGAAGCATTTGTGGGTTACTGAAAACAACTACACCATAAAATATAAATTGTCAGCAATTCTGAGTCTCCCAGAGACAAGCTGTAATGCATGTTTGGTGGACTAGTAAGTTTTTTTCCGACGGCACATAACCTACCAAGTATGTGGAAGCGCAAAACAGATTATTTTGAACCGCACTGAGATTGTAGCATGTTCAACTGTGAAAGAAAACATCGCTAGATCAAATGTGTTGGCCTAACTTCAGACCAAAGCACCGATTGATATTGCAGTAGATGCATACGACTTATCTATGGAGGGAGCCCTCCTACAATGAGTAGACAACACCTTCAGGGCAAGGTTGCAGGACATTATATCTGCATATAGAAATCTTGTTAGGGAAACTACATTAATTTTGGGGATATCACTAACTTTTCCCGAATGAAAGATCAAAGAAGATTCACAAAAATTTATTTGATGTTCAGAAAAGCTTGGAAGGCATGAAGTAATAAAATTATTAGATATCTTAGTACTACACTTCGAAGGAATATCCCCTTTCAAACATTTACACAGAAATATTAGTTACGCTTGTGACTTCAAGATATGACCAACTCTAAGAACAGGACATGCATCTGACTACCTCGCATCAAAACATAGTCTTCAGTATCTTTGAAATTTTTTTCTAGTATAATTCTGGGTCAGTCACTTTTACGTGACGGATTGAACTCCTTACTTCCATGCAAAGAGCTAAAAATTAGCGCGTTTATTCCATGAAAAAAGAACAGTTATCATGTTCGTGAGAGTGATGTTCTTTCTTCAAACTCCATCCACTCAAGTTCGAGTCGCATTGATTTGTGTAATGTTTTGTGTAGAAGACAACTCATATACTCATGTTGCATCACACGCAAACAATTCATAATTTGATTTTAAGCACCTCTGAAAATATTCAAAAATAATATCAACGGAAGCTCAAGTCTTGCGTATCTCTGAAATGTACTGTACAGGGATGCTTACATCAACTTTGTTTATTGTACCAGATTAATTAACCTTTCTTGTTTTAATTTTAATGTGATGCTCCGAAATTGATTGGTAAAGGTAATAAAAAAACGAATTCGTTCTGAGACTTAGAAACTCAAATTAACACTTGCTTGATTTAAACAAATGTAGCATGATCGTTTACTTGCAGCGAAGTTCAGAATAACGATTTCTCAGCTTGACTGAGACATTAGCGCTTTGAAGGAAAACCTGAAATGTTGTCCTTGAAGTTTAATTACACAGACTAGCCTAACTTGAGCTAACTCACATTACACTGCGCACCCACTGTGACCATCAGATATACAAACAAATTAGCATGGTCCTAGTTGTCTGCGTTTTTGTTATTGGGGAAATTGGGTACAGCTGAGTGAAACATCATCCGTGACCTGAATATAAACGAAGAAAATTTGTCTGTTGTGATCTGGAGAAATACTGGAAACAAATTCGGGACCATTCCCCTTATAATTATCACTGTCACTAAGGAGGCAGTATAGACGCAAGACGTTCTGATTTGAATTTTAACGGTCTACATCTCATAGTACAAAGGCATCTCCTAACCAGGCAAAAGTTATTAAAACTCCACCTAGAGCTGCTTTGAGGCTATTTCCAGTATCAAGGCCGGATAAAGGAGGGTTGAACATGTGGCTGACGACCGCGTTCAAACCATTTTAACTATGCCCTAGTAGTAAGGTCTTCTTTCAGAAGAGTTATGAAGTCTCATGACGAAAGCCCAATTCCTTCGAAAGGTACGAGGGAGATCATCCTTCTGACAAGTAGTACTACCATTAATTTAGGTACATGGAACGTTCGTACAATGTATGGGACCGGAAGACAATTCCAAGTTGCTGCAGAAATGAAAAGATAAATCTTGGAGGTGAAATAATCGGTCAAACACATCGAACGCAGGTTGGACAATATTCTTCAGGAGAGCTGCTGATATAATCTGGCAATACATACACAAGGAGTTGCACTGATGCTGTTCAAACAAGCTTACAGGTTTGGAATCTCATGGATCCTGGATTAACAAATATCGTTCAAAACGAAAAAAGAGGGTATTACAGTGAACACCATCCAATGCTATGCACCTACTAACGATTACCGTGAAGATGCTAACGAGTAATTCTAAAAGAGGCTTCAGTCAGTCGATGAGAAATACCTAACAATGAACTTGACCTAAATGTCAAGGTAAAAATGGACAATACCGGATATCAAGACATCATGGGACGACATGAACTAGGAAAAAGGAACGAAAGTGAAGAATTTTCACACCTATGTGCCTTCAAAATTCAGGTCATAGTCGGCACAGTATCACAAGAAATAGATCTCAGTATGTACTCCGCATAAGATTCATGTAAGGCGCAACAAGAAGGCAGCAATCAACATCAGCTGAACAAGAGCAGAGAAAGCCAAGGAACAGCCTGTATACACGGAAGCAAACAAGCAAATAAAGAGTAGCATCAGAGCTGACAAGCGAAAATATGTGAAAGATCTGGCAAATATAGCAGAAAGAGCTGCAACAGAAGGAAACTTGAGACAATTGTACGATATAACAAAGAAGATCAAAGGAAAAGCCAAGGAACACACTACTCCAAGAAATTCAGACAGACATAGGAAGAATGCATAAAAATTGGACAGAACCGTGAAGAATGCTCAGGACGGAGTAGATTGGAGAATACTGGCCGGTGGCCTATGATCCATTAGGGATAAATGCGTGTGTAAGCAAATACGCGAGAAGTTAGTAGGAAAACTGGCGCACCACACATCATTAAACCTCTAAATACTATTAGTTCATGGAAATCATGAAACTACTAGAATTATAGCATGGCGAACATTGTTCGTTGGGACGTTTTCGACAGTATTAGTGACTGCTTTAGGACATGTAAGGAAATACAAATTTTCTTCCACAATGCGGTTTCAGTGGTCGCTAGTGACTTTCTTTAAATTGGCGGTAAGTCAGCCAAAACAGCTTGTAGCATCATGAAACCAACAAAAACCATTATTGTGATAAATTACATACGTCATTTATTCAATGCATAGTATACATAGAAATAATGTAAAACAAATACACTCCCGACGTTTGCATAGTCGTATCACAATATTCAATGACTCAAGGTTTCCAAAGCTTCACCAAACCATCTTCTGAATAAGTAGCAATGAGATTTTGATGAGGGTGATGCGCGCAACCTATCACTTCCTTTTCATGAATCTATAAATTGGGGAACACAACATATTCATTCAAACTAATAATCAATAAAAACTACGGCTCAAAATACTCTTTATCAGTTTTTTCATATAGACAACCAAGCGTTGGTAAGTATGCTGCGATGAGCTAGAGAGATGACCGTGGTAATACTACACCTCAACCCAAAGATTTCCTTTGCCGGTGTTAGGCCTGAGGCGTATAGACTTAATACATTTAAAATTTACTAGAAAAATCGTGTGTACGGATGACAATTTTTAATTGTAATAAGGGTTTTGTTTTTACTCTACGGGTCACTACAAACATTACAGATACAGTTTCGTTTTCAAGTCCTTCAGGGATGGTCTGTTAGGGTGTGGGCGACTGGGAAGCGACAACTACTTTTATTTCGTGCACAATGATATCAATCTTCGTTATCAAATATTTCTCTCTTCCCTACCAATGATCGCCATTTATCTCCGAATCATCTAGCAAGTGACACCACCAATGCTAACAATAAGAATTCATGAAATGCTAACTCAGGTCTCGAGAGAGCGAATGCCAGATTACATGTTGAAACTTTTAATGTACAAACACACTGACAAGTCAGATGATAAGCAATACGAGACCCTAGAATCTTATGGTATTGATGTGTGACAAACAAATAAGAAAATTAGCCATCAGCCGTCGTTGGAATGGCTTGATACAACATTGCAACTACCACTTCAGTACAACCTGGACTCCAATTATATCGAATTCCAGTGAAAACACGGACATCAGTATGTTTAAAAACATAGGAACATCAGCCAGATATCGATTTGAAGATAAAGAAGTCAAGGATACAACCAAGAACAAATTAGTGAACCAGTTAGTCAATCGTAGAGAAACACCTAAGATAGGAGAAGCTCTGGATGACATCCAAACATCTGAAAATTATATCAACTGTCCGGAAAGATAGAAGGATTTCAGTGGCATCTTCTTAGTTGATAGGTGATTAGAAACTCTGTGTAAGTCTCGGAGGACGATGAAGATCGATAAATAAAACATAAACTAACAAAATATTTGTGTGGTTATTTTAAGCAATGAGTGAGTAACGAAAGCCTATCTAAAGTGAAGAAGACAAACACAGAGATCTGTAGGGGTAGCAGTTTAGTTTTACGTTAGAAAAAAGGTTAGTTCAGAACCTAAAGAACGAAATTCCCTTATAATATCCAAAGATAAATTCGTTTAACCGATTGAATATCTAAAATATTGGCCACCAAAATTATCTAACTGTTAAATTAGGCTTGTAGAGAACAAACCTGGGAAAACCAGGATGGTTTCAGACTTGAGTGGGAATGCATTAACCAAATATTCACTCTTTGTTGGAGTTTACAATCTAGAAATACTTATCAATCCTTGATTATAGTGATATTTCTCCACCTCAAAAATGCATTCAACTCTTAATTGGATGACTTTATGGTAATATTTGTTAGTCACAAATATATCAAGGAAGTACATTCACACTATTGTTCGATTCAGAGCTTATGACAATATGTCAACAATTATTGCTTTTTCTTAAAATCAACTTTTAGATTAATATGCTAATAGAAATGACTGATAAGAGGTCAATATACTATACGCCAGCTTGCTTTCGCAGATATAGTCCTGTTTGATGAAGACCATGACAAAATATAGTCTTTGAATAAGTTAAAACAGTAATTTTAGCATGTTCCAAGTATAACCACATTTAAAGCACATCTACAACTCAACCTACTAAGTTTTCAGCAACCAAATAACAGCACCACACACTCATTCAGCAGAGTTAGTTGTGGAGATTAGAGAGATAATAGGGGGTGTAGGAAGGATTTGATTTCGACCAATTTGGTCTCTCCTGCTGTTACGGGTATGAGGGCGGTTGTCACTTCCCGGCTGCCCACACCGTGGAAGGTCGTTTCTAGAGGAACCTGAAGAGGAAGGTAGATTAGTGTTGGTCTTGGAGACCTGGGAGAGTGACCGCAGAGCCCAAGGGACAACTGCTTGAGGCCGGTCACGCACGACATTTTTATGAAAGGTGTTTTGAGTATTAGTTCCGCTCTTATAGGCCCTTAGTAGCCACCCTTACCACCGGAGACGGAAATCCGTGAGTAGGGTGAGATGTGACATTTTCAGGGTCGACCTTTTCTAACCCTTCCTTTCTTGCGGGAAGGCAGCATCGCTGCAGATGTTGCTTGTTGTCCGAGGGAAACACCTTACTACTGTCACAGCCCTCTGCAGTCAGCAGTACGACTTCGCCCTCAGACCTTGAGTAGCTGCTTTTAGTCTCATCGTTCTGCAATCGACCTGCCTGGCATGGTAGAACCTTCAGGAACATATGTTCCAGCCAATATAGCTCGGTTGCGTCATCACAATAGGCAAGCCCGACCACCACGGCAAGGTAGCAGCTACGGTCGGGACTCTCTCATTCATTACAATATATAACACAACGCCAAACACAAACATGCACTTAACATGGTAATTACATTGAACTTTATATAAACTTACTCGCATTGTTCGTTCTAATTTACCACCGGCAGCAACATTGAAACAATATAATAAATGATCTTCAGCTACACAATAAATCCATTCACCTCTTCCACTAAGTGTACAATCCAGAAAATCTCCACCTTCTCGTTTACCACTAGAAAAACTTCGTACAATCTGTTGAAAGAAATTTAATTATTTTATGGAAAGAAGAGAAAGCGAGATTAAAGATTGTTTAAATATGCATGCAATTTGGTGAAATAATTTCTTATCTAAATTATTTTAACATAGTTGTGATACACAAAAATGATACTAATGTGACTATAATGGAATGATTGACATGGAGCATAGGTCACAGACCAGTGTTCTACAACCTACTCTGTCCTGGGTTTCCCTTTCCAGTTCTGTTAATTCTCCTCATATCTTTCTTTATTTCTCAGCGTAATATGTTCCTTGGCCTTCCTCTTTCCCTTTTGACCTTGAGGGTTTCAGAGTGTGTATCCTATCCACTTCCACAGCTTCCTGATTTCTTTCTCCGCTGCAATCAGGTTTGTTCTCTCATACATATAGGCTGTTGTTGTAGCGTCTGGCGAACGGACCTGAAGTATTCTGCATAGTCAAATGTTAATGAATACTTGTATCTTTTGGATGATGGCTTTTGTAGCTCTCCACGTTTCCGCTCCGTACGGCAGAAAAGTCTTGACATTTTTATTGAAAATTGTGACTTTATTGTTGGTTGTTAGTTGTTTTGAGTTCCAGATGTTGTCAAATTGTATAAATGCAGCCCTTGCTTTGCTGATCCACGCCCTCACCTTGCTCTTGAATGTAAAGATTTTTACTTCCTCCAGGTTATCTCCATCAAGAGCGATTTGGTTGGCGCACGTAGTGTTGGTTCGAAGAATTTTACTTTTCTCTTGTTTTCAAATAATATAATTGAGATACACGAATAAATCGTGATATTGCAATGAGTTGGTGGATTATTAGTTAGAGGATTTTTTGTCCAAAACAAACGATTGAAAACTTAAGTATTGTACAACTAACTATTCAGTGCAAATGTAAAACTGATTAACAGTGCCTATTCGTTTTCTATCTCATAAACTGGTCAAAAACCAGCCGAAAATGAGAAAGATACAACAGATACAACACAGAACTTCGTACGTAAGTACATCAGTTCAGGTTGCCATGCCCCATCAGCACAGAGACGCCACTGTCAGTTCAAATCGAACAGTGATAGCAATAATAGAAGTATTAGCAGTAATGCAGAAGATTAGGGAGCGAAGATATGATATAATTTGAGAAGTATAATTTAGTGAGATAAATTTAGAAGGAGAAAGATAGAGGTGATAAGGAATTCAAAAGGTTAGAATTAGAGAGAACACAAAGAGTGGATGCACTTGCGCCATTGCAAACGATTCTGAGCCCTGTCGTTCAAGGTTTCTAACCACCGGTGACTATCGTTTCGAAGGACCCGAGCCAGGTAGTCTACACGTATCAACATGTCCAAGTTCACTTGTCAGTGACTTCTTGGATTTGTGTCATGATTTGGTTTGGTTGTCTCTAGCTTTCTTCCAACCTACTCCTACACCACAAAACATAGCTCGTCGAGGTAGTCGGTGGTTAGGCATTCGTAACACATGTCCTAACCACCTCAACTGATGAAGTTTCACTACTTCATCTATTGATTTGTCATCCTTACCTAGAATTCGTTTTCTAAAGACAACACTACTTATACGGTTGTCCCATGATACACGAGCAATGCTTCGGAGACATCGATGATCGAATACTAGTAACCTACGAAAGTCCTCTACTCTTAACGGCCAAGTCTCGCATCCGTACAGTAGGACGGAGCGAACTGCTGCACAGTACACTCGTCCTTTGGTTAGCAAACGGATATCTCACCTGCGCCATAAGTGATGCAGGTTGGCGAAAGCCAATCGAGCTTTCTGTATCCGTGCTGAGATTTCGTCAGTCACCAGGCCATCAGCGCTGATGAGACTCCCCAGATAAGTGAAGTGATCAACAGCCGAAAATGAGAGGTAATATTGAACGATTATTATTATTATTACTAATTGTTTAGTCTTATGTGTAACGTGATTACAAAAATGCTAATTGTATCATTAAACTACAGATAAATAGGTAGAATTTTAATAAAAAGTTATAATATTTAAGATTGGTAACAACAATGACTAAGCCTATATGGTTAATGAATTAGTATTCACTGGTGGTGGGCACAGATTTTAGCACTCAAAAGCAACACTGTATGTGAGACGATCTGTAATACTGCTTGACTGCGTGAACCAGTCACAGGTAGTCAATCAAATTTATCTAACTTCGGAGAGCATCTTCACAATCTTCACATCAAAAGGAATGATTTATAGTCGAACAGATGCACACATACACTGATTATAGTTGATTGAGTCTAACACATTTAGCGCAATGGTTAAAATTTGATTTTTTCTTTACATCACAGATTAAAGCAGTTACAATTGAACAATTTAAAACAGTAGACAAGTAGTCTCTATGTGTACACATACTATAAGTATCTTTTTTTCAACAGAGTTAAACAGTGGCACAGTAACTCGAAAAACACTTATGAATTTTTCTTACCTGTCCTTGCATATTCATTATAGCAACTGTATTAGAACGACTAGCCACAACAAATTGATCTGTATTACGAGGCATTAAATGAACTGAATGAATTGATACTTCATGACCGACTAGACCAGATATTGCCTATTCAAAATAAACAATAAACCAAACTGTTTTAACCTTCATTGGTTTGGTTACACAAGTTGAATGTTAACAAAGTGAGTGGAGTGGATATAAGGTAACACTCTTCAATTGAACTTGTACTACCAGCTCAATCAAATAACTATTGACTCCCTAACTGTCATATTGATGAATAAATAAAAGAATGTTCACGGTCTATTACAACTGAAATAATGAAAAATGTATAAGTGAGGTGCGAGCTACTTATAAGTCGTATATGACGTGAGTGTCAACGTAATGTCTGGCAGCAGAAAATGGGGGTAGATCAAGAAAGGAAGAGTTAGAACACAATGCAATTTGTATGAAACGCATGAATAGTGAGTGAGTGACAATGGATTGATGTTGTGTTTACAGCAGGAACAGTCCAGTTCGATATGATGAACTGATATTTTGCAAATTAACGATTTACGAAATGGTTTTCCTATTTTACTGAGTAACACTATAATTTTCGTTCAACACTATTCGGTTGCCCCACCTGTGTTCTCGTTCACTACAGTAGCAGTAAAATTTACGGGCATTTTCCAATGATTTCCTTAGACATTTTATCACAGAACACATATGAGAACATGAAATAATAAGTAGAGCATCAAACCATTAAATTTTAAGACTTGAGATTAGTGACGTTTTAAAGCTTGACTCTAAACGATGCTGCTAAAAGATCATTTTTGATTATTGTTGGTAATTTATGAATGAGAACAAAAGAATAGGTCAATTATCCCATATCATCTCAAACAAACAACTCCACATTGAACCCCGTTCAAGCTTACTGTCAGCCCAAAGCCCAGCCAAAAACGGGGAGGATCAAACATGGGATTAGTAACCTTACTCCAAAAGAAAAAAAACCCCGCTAAAACAAAATTCTTAACATGGACACATTAACCCTATAACCGATATAACGAATCATATGACACTCAGAAAAAATCGATTAAAACAAAGAATAAAATGATGAAATTGACTAGTGAATCATCATCACGATACTGATAAATCTTGACTACTACAGAGTAAATTGTGATTGTTTGCTTTCAGATTATATTTTTTTGTGAATATTGATCAATGATGAATAATTATTTGTGATGTATCAAATTTCAGTTCAGGTAGATTGAATATTAAACAGAAGATAATCTAGTTAAACAAATAGTTGGATTGAATTGAACAATCATAGTGTGGTGTGCGCTACTTATTCGAACTATATAAGTAGTATAAGAAGAGACGTGAAACAAGAAGAAGTCTCACGGTCAGAAGAGGAAAACAGAAAGCAAATGGAGTACCAACAGGAAGGAAAGGAAGCAACAACAGGAATGGAAGAAGGATGGAGCGTTGGAAGTCACGACTCAAAGGTGGTGTGCAAATAGAGTATTCAATGTAATGTTGTCGTTTTTAATTGACTAAGAGTGTTAAATTTGCACAATACAATCTTCCGCGCCTACCTCAGTCTTCTCAATAGTATTGACAGAGGTATTCAAAAACTAGCGCGAAAAATGATCCCTTTTGGAAAAAAAAATAATCTATCTAATAAATGGAAAGAGAACATGACTAGTCAAAGTCAGGTACACAAAACGTCAATAACATAACGTGAATGAACACAACGAGATCAAAACACAATACAAAAGATCAACATTAATGTTGTAGCAATAATTGAAAAAAAAATCTAAATATTAGAAACATGGTTTGGAGATAGTGGAATTCACAAATATAAAGAAGAAATAAATGTGTTTGTGCCACTGGAAACTATTGTAACACATAATATCTAAAGTCCCTAGACCTTTATCGCCGTTATCTGTCGGACCCTAACCAGGTACTCTACACTTACCTTGATGACTTAGTTCTACAGTCAATAAACTTCATGGACTGATACCGTAGTTTGTTGTAGTGGTTGTATCTAGCTTTCTTCCAACCTATTCTTACACCAGTAAATGTCACCTTTCGAAGTAAGTAGTGATAAGGCAATATAACACACTATGACTACATCAGTCATTAAAAATTCACATTCTTTTTGGTGGGTACCATATACCTAACCCGAACATTACACATCCAACTGGTCCACAGAATGCAAACAATGCTACGAAAACAGCTACTATCTAAGATGTTCAGTCAAAGTAAACATGAAGGAAGAATATAGTGGAGAAATTTCAAGGAGATTGAAAAAAAAACGAAATGAAAGTCATGTAAGAAAAAATCACCAAAATAACGAACAGATTCACGTTAGATTTAATCATTTTACAACTAGTGAACATAATGTGATATACCTTAAATGTATTTGTACACTCGCCTGAACGAATTGACCATAAACGTACAGAACCATCAGCACTACCACTGATAATATTATGTCCATCAGGTAAAAATGCTACAGAATTTACAACACCTGTATGACCAGTAAACTCTTTGATTATTTTACCCGATTTCATTCCATGTATTCTGAATAATAGGAATAACAATAGAATAAAACATAAAACTGTAAAATTGAATGTACAGAGTTAGTTAATGAATTGTTTACGCTATAATCAATAATACGTGGAAATCATTTAACGATTTAATTTAATAACTGTTAAGAATAGTATGATTAGGATGAAATTCCCTATTTCTCAATTGCTTTCATTAGCTACCAATGATTGTGAAGTTCCCTTTCAACTTACATTCTCTTACAATAAAAATATTTTAAACCACTACGACTACTATAGGATTTCAATTGACAATAACATGCCTGTGCTAATGTAGTATGGCAACTTGAGCTGATGTACCTACGTACGTACGTATGTACGAAGCTCTACGTTGTTTTGGACTGAAAAAATATTTTAAACTAATCACACAACCACGTAAAACATTGGAAAGTTTAAAAGAAAACACTGGAACTGCTATTCATAATTTTTCCACTGGTCTCTTCCTCCTGTGAAACGACGTGAGAGTTTATTCAGAATTCATGTGTATAAAGCAAAGTGCGAATATAAATTGTTATTTGTTTTTGAGGGACATATGTGTTTGGCTAAATTTTGATAATTGAAAATGTAAAGCGGTAGGTTTAATGGTCACAGTAGTTGAATTTCAAACAATAAGCCACAGATTTGAATCTCGCTGAAAATATTTCAGTTGGTCGCATTTATTTTATTATATAAATTGACCCTTCATTGGCAACGGATAATTTTATATTGGTTTCTACGAGAATAAGACACCGCATACAGTACAGCTCAATCCTGAGACACAACCACACACGTACCTCACACCCTGGTGGACTATTCACACCATTTAATATACACCAATACATATAGTGATTTTTTTCAAACCTACGATAGCGTCAATCAATATGCACAGCACGGAAAGGCCGATTCGACCTATTCCGATCACATGACTGTCAAACTCATTATTATTAAAACTATTATCAATGTTGATTCGCAATACACAGCGCGTCCCAATGACAACAGCCCTCGAGAATGTTCCAGGACAACCACCGGTAGTATCAACGAAATCGACTATCCTGCAAACCATATATGTATATGTACCATCAGCAAATCTTCAACCCCTCTAGTTTTGACTTCCTAAACTTTTCTCACTGAATCATACTTCTTGAATAATATCTTCTAATCCTAACCTCTCCGATTACTTCTAATACCCTTACTACCTCTTCTACTATTGGATTTGAATTGACAATTACATCTCTGTGCTGATGTGGTATGGCAACATGAACTAATGTACTTACGTACAAAGTTCTACGTTGCATCTGATTGACTGACTGACCATCAGCAAAACATGTCAAAGAAATGATAAATTATCCACCATGTTCACAACAAACGTATGATCTCATAGGAAAGCCTTCAGCTCGATATAGAAATATGGCATAAGGTATATACATCGTACGGCATAGCATCATAGTAAGAGATGCAGCCCAGATTAATGCGAATGGGCTTAAACACATTTATCACCCTTTGTATCATATTGTAAGACGTTAATTTCGCAATAGAGAAATTTTCATTTTTCTTACCATACAAAGGTAGAGCAGCATTAACAAATACTAAAAAAAGGTAGTGTTTTTCGACAACCAAATACAAAGAACTATACTTGGTAACTGAGTTTAAACAAAATTTGCAAATAGAATGTAGAACGTGGAAATAGATTTAAACGCAATAGTATCAAATGGAACGATTATCATCATTATTCTCATTACCATGAAGTTTTGGTGTCCAGAAACGGTGTCCAGTGGAGATCAACCATGTGGATGTGGGTTGTGAGATAAATATCACCAATAATAATGGATAACTGTAACGTAATGTAGTGAATTGATTGGAGTTATTAATCTAAAACATTAAATTCTAACTGAGTGATCTGAAAGTTAAGCACTCACCATGATGTCTCAAGGTCGAGGGGTTCGATCCCAGGTGTAGTAGAAGGGCGCTACTGATGAGACCTAACTAGGACGAAACAGATGAACAGTGGATCTTAGTTTTTCACCAGTTGCCTAACCAAGTTCGTTTGCAACACAAAATGACAAAATTCGACAATGCTTCACACCTACCGACACAAAAAATCATTAATTTGAGTTTTAACAATTCATGTATGGTGTAAAAAAGCATATAGCCTATGAAATGACAATATTTAGACTGATCTAAAAAAGCCTACAAAACTTTACTGATCTGAGTATTGTATGGTAGTCGTTACTTTAAAAAAAATACTGAAGAGGGGTTCGGACCTACAGCCGATGAACAAGTTGATAGTTCAATGCTTTAGTCACTAGATAAATAAATGCATTTAAAAAAAATTACAATAATAAAATGAAAAACTAATTTCAATAATAATCAAAAATTACCGAATACTATGATCTAAACTAGCTGATAATAAATGTGTATTATCTTTAGAGAATTGCAAAGCTGTAACACCTTTATGATGTGCTTTCTCTAAACGTTTCAAACATTGACCATTTTGTATACGCCAAATTTTGATGGCACCATCTTTAGCACCAGATGCCAGCATTTCTGAATCACGACTAAATGTTAAACATAATACACTATCTTCCATCATCATAAATGTATCCTGAAATTTCAACAACAACAAATAACATGGAGACACAAAATAAATATTTGCATTTGTAGGTTTGAATTTAAGTCATTTGAAATAAATAATTATCATAATTGTTACAATTTCGTAGACAAATAAGTTTGGTTTACTTAAATATTAGTGGGAGATAGATTGGATTAAAGTATGATTGCGTTGTTGCACGCTGATTGGCTCTTTCGTATCCAATCAGCGCTAGCCGACACTAAGGGAACATTCTAGAATCTTCTCATGTAAGAAAACTATAAAAATATACTAACGTTTGTTTTCCTTTGAACCTTCTGTCTTCCATCTAACCTTTGTTATCGGAATATAATCTATTTCCTGTTCAACCGTGTTCTGATTTTGGGAGAACGTCTCGAGTGAATTGGTGTCCGAGACTACTAAGCATTCAGAATAGCTAGGTTGTAATAAAGAGATAATTATAACAACCTTCAAATCTCGCGGGTTAGTGTAGTAGTGCATATACTATTCCAAAAAAGTGCAGAAGTAATGAATTAATTAAGAATAGACAGGATGTGGCCATCAGGAGAATACAGATCGAGCGTTTCGTCCTATAAGAGACTCAACAGTTGGATGTATCAGGGGATCCTAGAGTTATGTTTGCTTCAATATTGGGACTAAGTATCTTTCGCTTTGATATTTAGTCAAAATATCAACAACAGAATCTAAACCATTACTAATGAAATTGGAGTTCATTGCGGTTGTGCAGGCGAATGGTTATTTGGACTTAGTAGTTAAGTGGATAACCTCTTCAAGGTTTGAAGAGAAAGACGCTGTGTTAGAATACCAAAATGAACGTCAACTCTAGAATGCGGGTACAGTCGGCTGAAGAGTCCCAGCTAGGAGGAAACACGTGTTTCAGATTATAATACAAGCCACATTCTATCTATTCTACATAAACTAGTGACAAAAAGTGGCTCTGTCGATGTCAGTCACTCACGATGCACGAATGCTAACTCAAACCGACCAAAATATCACCAACGAGATAATCCCAACTATTAAAAATTAAATAGTCTATGAAAAAAAATATGAAGCTGGTCTTTATAAAAACAAATCGATGCTAAACTTCAAAAGTGCTCATAACAGATTCAACCAGCAAGTTATCAACGTGGGATCTGACACAAGTGTACATCTCTTTTTTAGTCATATCATATTAGCACATATTCAATTGAAAAATAAAATATGCAGTGACACTAAGCTGAAAATGTAAAGTAATATAGACTAACTACATCACTTAGATTATTTTAGTACTCCCTGTTAACGATATGAATTAGCAAAAAAAGTGATTACAAAGCAACACTGTCCAGTGTTCATATACTTAATCAGTCCTTAAAAAGTTATAATGACACTAAGAAATGATACTAAGAATATTTAAATATAGTAGAGATTACTATGAAACTGTTTGATCACAGATGGTTTTAAGAAGAACAACTATGTATGATGATACTATTTAAATTCAATATAATGCTGAAGTTAGGCAGTATACCTACATCGAACTTATGTCGTTGTAGTATGTAACGCATGCAACCAACTTCAACATACACTACTGTTTGTCATATAAGTAGGTCAAAAGAAATCTAAAAGCAGACAAAAGATGTTGTTATTTGATAACGACTTGACCCATATCAAAAGCTGCAAACTAACTTATTTAATGCAAATTTATTTGAATGATTTCCTACAACACTTTTTGCACTTCAATGATCATCATGAAGCTACTAAAGTAGATGGCGTTGGCGAGATATCCGTTTGCTGATTAAAGGACGGGTGTACTGCGCAGTAGTTCGCTCCGTCTTACTTTATGGCTGTGAAACATGGCCAGTGAGAGTAGAAGATATTCGTAGGTTACTGGTTTTCGATCATAGGTGTCTTCGAAGCATTTCTCGTATATTGTGGGACACCCGAGTGAGCGACGCTGTTATTAGGAATCGGGTGCTAGGTGAGAATGGCAGATCAATAGATGAAGTGGTAAAACTTCATCAGTTGAGGTGGTTGGAACATGTGTTACGTATGCCTAACCACCGACTGCCTCGACGAGCTTTGTTTTGTAGTGTAGGAGTAGGTTGGAAGAAATTTAGGGGCGGCCAAACCAAAACATGGCAGAAATCCATGAAGTCATTGACAAATGGACTGAGACATGTCGGTAATTGTCGACTACCTGGTTGGGGTCCGTGAGATGATAACAATCGATGGTTAGAGACCTTGAATGACATGGCTCAAGGTCGTTCGCAATGGCGCCGGTGCATTTATTCTGTGTGTTCTCTCAAATCCTTATCTCCTGGATTCTTCAACACCTCTAGTTTTGACTTTCTAAACTTTTCTCATTAAATCATACTTCTTGAATAATATCTTCTCATCCTAACCTTTCCGATTACTTCTAATACCCTTACTAACTCTATTGGATTTGAATTGACAATTACATCTCTGTGCTGATGTGGTACAGCGACATGAACTGATGTACTTACGTACGAAGTTCTACGTTGCAACTGACTGACTGAAAGTAGATGAAGTGGGATGCACAGTAGTGAATATTTAGTACCCAATATTTTTTTTGAAATAACACTAGCTTTTTTATTGTTCTTGTTGAAATAAAAAAAAATTCACTTCACAAATCAGAATCCTAGTGAATTATCTGAGTGATATTGAAAGTCAAGTTGATGAGCTTTATTAAACTAAATCAGTATATTTCAACTGAATACACTAATCAAATTTTCTTTTGAGGCTCCTCAAGAATTACCCTTCCATGATGTGAACAACTAGGAAATGACATCCACCTCCATTCATTCACGTGACAGCACATGATTTCACTTGAATAACTCAACAATTACACTACAATGTGTTAACCAAGAAAGCCACAAATGTACATTCTTCACAATCATTAAATTTATTAAGTTCAACGAATAATACAGTTTAACTGATATTTATAAATAATATTATACATTAGTCAACAACAACAAAAAAGTATCCCAACTACCTGAGCTTGATACTTTAAATCTTTGCGTAATTTACCAGTTGTAAAATTCCATACTTCGATGAAACCATCAACTGAACCAGTCACTAAGAACTGACCATCTGGACTGAATCGGGCGCATTCGACATGACATTTTTGAACTACCTAAAATGTGATCGTAAAAGTGAATTTGAAAAAAAAAAAAACAATAGGACAAACCTATCACATGATACAGAAGAGCAATGAAGAACAAATAATAAAGACTCATGGGTTTTTTTCGAAAAAATTGCATGTAGTAGCTTCTTTGACAGTTACTAACGATAATTTGAAATTTGTCTGTGCAACAAGTTTAGGACCGATTTCAAAAACTGAGATCAACTTTTGATGCATAAGATTTTGAACTATCATGATTAGTGTTATTTTGGTATGCAATTAAAAAATTATGATGTTTAATTTGTGATATGGTTAATAAAAAGCTATGATGATTTACTGTGGTGACTATCTGCTGGTCACCACTAAGGTCTATGATCGGTTGATAAACATAGCACAATTTTAAATCATTGGATTATAAAAAGTGAGGGAGTTCAGAATAGCAAAAAACATTTGATTATTTGATAAGAACTGGATATTCTACGGTATGAGTTTAATGTGTTTTCTTCTCATTGAGATTTTATGTTTATGATAATCACTTTACGAAAGTAAGCCGATAGCTTCTTCATTATGAAGTAACAATATGAACTAAAGTACATTGAAAGTTAACTGAATTTGGAAAAATTTGAACTATTACATTTATATCTAGATAATGGTTGTTACGTAGCATGTTAATAGTTTCTTGAAATCGAAGAGAATATCTATATGCAAGAATATAGTCGATTTTGAATTATATTACTCATCCAAGCGTTATCATTAATATTGTATCTAAGGTTTAAATGATATGCAGATAACATATTTTTACTGTATTCTGTGTGGTGGATAATGTAGATGTGTACTTCATTTTGAAGTAAACGTTGGTGTTGTTTATAAAAACAACGAAAGCTTCATAGTTAAACGATCCTGCACACAGAACAGAACACCAGCAACAACCTGAGCTATAAATATTCCCATTACCTTCCCTATTATATTCACAGATTACATAAACTAGAATTATTCAGATCCACATACAAGCATACACTTACTCGTATAACAGTAGATAATTTAGTGGGTGGTTTTTCTTCTTCTTGTTCACGCACAGCAGCTTTACCACGAAACACGTCGATTGCTGTACCAGGTGGCAATAATCCTTGGTGCTGTTGCCATTTAAGCGCTTGACTAAGCAAGGCCAACAAGCGTGATGGGGCTACAACACTAACTTCTTCAGATAATGAACTAGCCAGAGCTTGGCGACGTTTATCTTTTGACTGACCATCTGAATAAGCCTACAAGTGGATTTATATATATTAAAAAATAAGTATATTACCTCTCTTGGATCAAAATATGACCGATTTAAAAGATTATCTAGATTTGTATAACGCTCAGGTTGTGTACGCTTCATTGCAATCATTGGTTCCGTTTGTCTAAGTATTGATCTAGCTGCACCAGTATCACGAAGTTCTAGCAATTCAATGAAAATCTTCATTCGACATTATATTTTCGGTTAAAAGATCAAAACGAATATTACCTGTTCATACAAATCCATTAATTTTTGTTCTGGTAATTTTAAGTACTGTACAGTTTGCAAAACAACATCCCAATGACCATTAATGATATCTGACGTGAAACTTTCTATAGATTCAACAGTATTCAGTGATACTCTTGTTTCTTCCTTATAAAAGAAGTATTTTTTTAAACTGATAACATCTCCTCATCTATTAATTTACCTGTACTGTACGTAATGTTCGCAGTAAATTGCTTTCTTTTAAATACTGTTCTACTAAACGAACCACACTGCAAGAAAAAGGAACAGGTTGTCATTTATAATGTAATGGCATTACTCAGCTGATTCGATTTCGATATCCATTACAGCGACAAATGATGTAACTATACGAATATGATCCTATTAATAGATCTGTAAGAAACGGAAAACGAAAGAAAATGCATGTATAAATGATTGGATGCCTGAACAAACGACGACTAAACGAATAAACATTTGCACTGTTTATAAAGGCGAATAGGTGCCAATTGAAATACATACTTGTTATCTGTCAAGTATTACTTAATGTTACTACTACGACTACTATATTCAGGCTTTAGTTACTCATTTCTCAACTGAGACTTGAGGTTTGTTTAATCAAGATTAATTACTTGTTTGTGCAGTGATTACATCGGTACATTATTAAAGCAAGTTAGAAGTCACGATTTTATGGTACTGTACAAAGCAAACACCAATGTTAATGGCTCAAGCACTTCAGTTTCGAGCTCTACCTTGATGTGTACCTACCGAAAGCCTGAAAATTTTCCACTTTGAAAACACCTGCTCTCCTGATTTTATGATCTTTTTCACACCCCGATGGGTGTAGGCAGTAACTACCGAGACAAAAGGCACAAAATCTTTTGGACTGACCTAAGTTAGACATTAACACTGTAGATAAGACTCAGAGGTCTAAAGGTTAAGCGTTCGTCCGTAAATCTAAATCCGCATGGAGGCTAGGTTTTAAACTAAGGATTAATTTTGTAACTCAGATTATCAGTGACCCAAAAAAATTGAAAATTCAGGGATAATATTTCATGGAGATACAAGTGAGAAACACCTGTGATATTAGTTACCACAGTAGTTTAGTTAGGGAATTAACAAGGACAACTAACAGTATGAATATACACATATATAAATAAAGGTATTCAGATTGACAGCCGCCAGACTTTTTCAGGAAAAATTTTAAACATTGAGATCTAATTACTTGAGATTGATAATTGTATGGATCAGGTCCAAACTATCGTAGCGATAGTGATCAATAATCTACTGCGACACTAGTAGCGCAGCATTTTAATCGACGCTCTTTGTAGATCCGATATCCAATATCATCTTCACAAGCTGGTATAAATCAATTGATTTCCTTGTTCTAAATTCCTGTTCTTTCTGTACGGTTCCAAGTGTTCAGGTATAGTACAGTGGACGAGGGTCTAGACACTTGACTGCAAATTTTCTTGTCATTTGGCAGTTATTTATGGATTTGTAAAACCCTTAGTTCAAGTCAGTGCGTTCATCTCAAGGCACCTCAAAATGTACCAGGCTGGAGGTGAGTTATTTGCAGTGTGTGGAATAGTAAATCGAGAAATCCAATGTTAGTGAGCAGATTTAATTAGTAAATTAATAGACAAGTCAACGAACTTTTGGTGGAAATAATGTTGGAGGACTGAAGTAAAATCAAAGATGAGGAAGCGGAGATAATAGGGGAGACAGAATAAGTCAGTGATCTGAAGAAGTTAGAGTGA